CAGGAAGAAACTACAACCGAGGCGAACACACGGTCCGTTGTACGAAATCAGCCGTATGAAATCTTCTAATATTATCAGTCTGATAAAAAAAATAAAAATCGACAGTATTTGGTAAAATTTTACCGAGGCGAGTGCCTCGGTTCGCCTCATACTGGCTACGGCCCTGCTTTATATAATCAAGAAAATGATAAGTATAACCATTAAAGCAACAGATTACATCTTTTGTTGTAGAAAAAGGAACTGGGATAGCCCAAACTTAATGCAATTTTTTTTCTCTTTTTTTTTGGCTTTTGCTTTGTTTTTGTTTTTGTTTTTATTGTTTTTTTTTCTTTTTAATAATCCAATCTCAAGCAGCATTTGTAAATTGCCTATACGTAGCGAGATTTACAATTGTACCTTCAAAAACACAAATAAAGTTTCCATTATTAAAATGCTCTCGCATACAATTTGTAATAAACTAACCTGTCGCGTTTTCCGTTGCTATTTTCATTAGTCTAAAAAAAAAATAAACCTGGTTTACTTAAACATGTTTTGTTGTTGTAAATGGGGCATAACATGTTTTTTAAACCATTCATTGGAGTAGTTAATCAAAGCATGGTCAGATGAGAAAATATAATTGTCATGAAACTGTTGATAAAATAGTCAGTTGAATTCATTAGATGTGATAATAAGGTCTCATGTGCTAGAGTGATTTCACTAAACCAGTGAAACAGTATATAACAATATTAGCGCCAAATACGTGGTTACAAGTCAAAAAAAGAAAACAACAAAACTAGAGAGTAATAGATCGTATTACTGCGTCTACTATCTATTTTTAGTAGCCTTGGAAATGTACAAATATACAACGAAGGTCAATACCAAAAATTGTGTCAATAGAGTAAGAAAAATAAACGTTATGAATTAAAAATGCTTAATTATCATACTTTTTAAACTGGGTGATAACGGGGCCTTTTACATAGTTGTTATGTTGACATAGGAGTCGTCATAGCAACGAAATGACGTCATTATCTATTTTCCTTGCAGCGGTATTTCTCGGCATCGAGAGTTTTTTCCACAATCGTGCACCGGAGCCGATGTCAGCATATACCATTGCTTACAACAATTTTTCATCTTTGTGTAATACAGTTGTGGTAATCGTTTTTCCATATCTTTGTTAATGGCGAGGTAGTTAGTGTTCAAACTTGGGAGGTATTGGCCATCAAAAAAAAAAACAAAAAAACAGTCGAGCCACTTTTGAATCCATCATCATGAGAGCGGTCACCATGATTTTCTCGTCGATAGCCTTGTACAGGAGAAAGGTGAAAAGAATCCCCCAATCAGGGCCCGCGCAGCAGTTTTTCAAAAGTGCGGGGACCACTGGATAAAAATGCGTAAAGAAGCCAAATATGGGGATTGTCCGAGGACGTCTCTATACTCAACGAGAAAAGAATGTCAAAAGAATCTTGTGATACGATTAACAGGTCTATTCTAGCAAACTAAAGAACGAATCGATATTATTACCGAAAAGCTGAATGCAGTGCGTTTTCCACATTTCGAGAAACAGCCTAAAATTCATGTCGCTAGTTTCCAGCATGCCGATTCACTTCGAGCGCCTGACTAATTGGCGAGTGGATTGCAGGCGGGATTTTGTAGGGTATTAGTTAGGGTGGGCAATGGTGATTTTTTTCTTCCGATCAGAATATCTACCTAGTTATGAAAATCCTTTTTATTCACAAAACTGGCCAGAGTGTATGATACAGAGTGTATGATACAGATAACTCGAAACAAAGAAAGAATACATTATTTTGTTTCGGCTCGTCACCGCTTTTCGCAACTTAACTCAATAACGCTATAATATTTGTAGTGTTTTCCAAGATCGATTAAGTCTATCAGTCCTGGAATCAGAACAGACCGATTATCAGAAATTTCATTTTTTTTTCCCGCGAGGTCTGTCACCCAAACACTAAACCTGTGAGAGCAGAGGCTACAAGCAGTGTATTAATAATTAATTTCGGTACGCCAGTTCATATGGAGAAAAAGCAGCCTCTGTTCACAAGCCAAAGAAAAATGGCTTCGCTCACCCTTTAAACCCTAATATCAAAATTTGAATTCTCATTTGTTATCCGTATTCATTTCCTACAGAAGTAGTGGGAAGAAGTTGATAAAATATCAATCAAATTCATCTTGTGTGATCATGTCCGTAATTCTCATGACCACTCTGTTTTACAAAGCATTGATATTACAAGGAGAAATTTGATGCTGATCACTCTTAGGGCTTAAACCGCCGGGTTAACGCCCGTTACACGGAGTCTTTTTTTTTGCACTTTTGTGTGACTCATGTTAAAGCTCATTTAAAGCCACTATTTTATTGAAAGCAATTTTTCAAGGTTGCATAACGAAGTGCATAAAACTTTAACTGGTTCAGCTCTACGTCTCGATAGGTCATTCCCACGCATGAAATACCTATGAAATCGCTGGTAGTTTACAGGCGCAAATATACCCTCTAGGAATATAGTTTTTGTTATTTCGTTCGAAAGTGGGGGGTGGCCGGGGGGCAAGACAAGCCACCCCCAACGCAAATACTAATCATAACTGACTCACTAAGTTAAACGATAAATCAGGATAACTTCTGTAAGGGTATGGCAACGATTAACGAATTCAAACGACTGGATTAATTTTTAACTGAGTGATACATTATATCTACTACACGTTTTTGTGGCTGGCCTGTTGTGGCTCATCACGGTCTTTTAAAAGTCACTTAACAATTTAGTCAGTTCGCTAAAACCGTTAGAAAAGTAGGAGACATTCAGCTTGCAAACATCACGCTCTTTTCTTCTGTCGGCGGGTTATAGGAGGGAGAACTGCTCCTTGTCTGCTCACTGTTGCCCTCTCTTCCGTCTTGATTCTAATTATATTTCAAGGCATCTGCCGTGCGTCTGAAGGGTTGGTATCAACGATACTGGAAGTCAGCGTATGAAAAGTTTGCGCTTGGCTCATAAGGTTATCCTGGAGAGATGTCCCGCGATTGCCAGCGGACAAAGAGCGGGTGGGTGGTAGAGTGAAGCGGTTCGGTTCCCTAAAGAGTGCTTGACTTCCTGTTTCAAGATATGAAGGTTTCCAAGTTTCCAGAACTTCTTTCGATGCTAGCCGCTTACATTTGGCTGGGGACGTATTATTCTTGCCAGATGTCTCTTCGCTGTTTTCCACTGGAGATTTAAGACATGGTGTTATATTGAACTCCTCTTGCATTGAGGTGTCTTGCTGATTTTTGTGTTGACGTGGCAAATGAAAGAAACCTTTATCATATGCATCTTTCACTTGTGCCCAGTGCATCTCTGCTTGTTTCTTGATCAATCCCTCCTGGAGGGAAATGTCTGACCCAGTCAGTTGATATCCTGTAAAAAGATGGAAAAAGGTATTTTGAGTAGCTGGCAATATTACTTCTGAATCAATAGATCAACATACACTTCGTTAACTATTCACCTGAGTAGAATTAGAACGCATCAAATTATACCTAATCGATTTCAATGAGTTCACCAAAAAAACGAATTAGCAGGACCACTTGTTTAAAAGTCATTATGACTCAAAAACGGAATGAGCTTCTGTCATTTATTATCACAGAACTCTGCTAAAATTTCAAAGCCTTAAAGCAGAAAGGCCTTAGTTTCAGAGGGACGCTATTGTCGATCCAATTACAACTGATAGGAAAGCAAGTTCTACACGTATCCTTGCTTGAAAATCAGCTGCAAATACCCATATTGTCTCCAAAGACTCCCTTCTTGGACGAGGCCATGGGACAAAGGTTGAGCTGACACCCATTCAATAATCCCAGCTTACACAGTTTCTTGCAGAGGGTTTCCAGGGAGGGGACTGTGTCGTCTGGGCTCCCCACCCTCTCCTCCTAAGATTGCAAACACTTGGTCACTGAGCTCAAGACCACTGCTACGTATTGCTCCCAAGAAGTGTTTCCCTGGTAACGCTGAGTGCCAATCACGCCTACAAGTACGATCCATTCTTTACCCAGGACTTTGCAGCATTCAAGTATATCTGCGAAAAGAGCATGTCAGCTTTATAAGATGCAGCACTTTTACGTCAACTTCTCGCACGCATCCAGCAAGGTGAAAAGCAAAAACGATGCCATCCGAAATCGGATTATAGGCTTTGACAAGCGACGCATTTCTCAACCAAAAACCCAATAAACAAACCAGCCATGAATAAGAGAACACTCTTGATAGCAGCTGTATTTCATTTTTTACATCCAGTGGAAAAAGACAGTTAAAAACATCACAAGTTGACTCAAAACTCTGTCAGCTTCAGCTGTCAAAGTAAACAACTTTCAAGATGCTGCATAAATTTTACGCATGAACTCACCTGACAAATTTTAACCAATCAGAGCATAAAAATTGGACGTGGAGCGTGACCAATAGGTGACCATGGTTAGAAAAGGTCTTCCACGCCTGTATTTTAAAAGAAAACTGGCTGAATTTTTGCGTCTGAGGTCAGTTTGAAGTCAAAATCGTAATAGTGCGTGGCGATACTGACATAAACACAACATATTTGATATGAATTTTAAAAAAAAAGTAAACATGAGCCTGCGATCATTTGAAAACGAGTAAATTGTCAGCGGATAATTTAAAAAAAAATACTCGACCTTGATAAGTCGACACCTGAGCCCGCGATACGGTCAGGTGATACTGGTCAGCGGATACCCTGTTTTAACAGTTGTCAATTGATGACAACATTGATGAGCAATCAGCTTTCTCCTGGGCTCCCAAAGTAGCTAGAAAGTGTGACAGTAAACATTGGTATGCCTGTGGTGCGGACGGACGGGCAGCGGGCGGGCGGGCGGGCGGTGTACGGTCACGTGAATACCAAATTTTTTAGGATGGGTAGATTTACTTACCCATGGTGCTCCGCAGGCGCGCTTCGCGCGCCAGAGCTCCGCTAAGAATCCTACAGAAAAATCATGATTCAAGGCCAGTGCTATGGGAGTCAACAAGTTAAATAGTTTAATGAAAACTATGGCAGACAAAGCAGGCTTTGATGAGAAGCGAATACTTACAAACCACAGCGCACGGAAAACTATGATACAAAAACTGAACGACAACAACATTCCACCAACTCATATAATGCAATTATCTGGTCACAGAAACGTCCAAAGCGTCAACAATTACAGTACCGTCTCAAACGAACAACAGAAAAACATGTCTTTGATTCTGAGTGGAAACACTACAAGTACGTCTGTAGAAAAAAGGCCAGTGTCGAGTTCACGAAGTGGAGTGGCCACCGAGTGCTGTGAATCTTCATTCATGAAAAGTTCTAGTTTTCCTGCAGCAGGTCCATTCAGTGGAGCAGTGTTTCACGGAGGACAGTTCAACATAACCATAAACACTGTAAACAAGTCACCAACTTCCAC